TAGATATAGGCCCTTGAAACTAACCTATATTAGCTGCTATACCGGTTGATTTAGAGGTTCAAAGAAAATATACCTTTAAAATCGATCCTGACTTAGATTTTATGTTTTTATACCTCATTATACTCTTTAACAACTGCCGTTTTCGTAATTGTTTAACACTACATTGATTGTACTATGATCCTTCAAAAGACCAACTTAACAAATCTCCAGGTCACCACCTCCTTCAAAGCAAAGTAGTTTGACAAATAAATTCATATTGATGAGAGACTTAGCCTTTTAGCTAAAAATCAAGTCTAAACGAAGTGACTAATTTTGGTTGAACTTTAAGCATCTCAGTTGCTTAACCCAGTAAATCCGCGCGTGCACTATGCGTAACAGCAACAAAAGTACTAATGAAAAGATCAGATCAAAAATTTTAACATATTAGGGAGCAAGAATCATTTGTGAGACAGAGCAGAAAACAAAGAGAATTTCAAGCAAAGCTCAGTCTTAGGCCACATTTAGAAGCTGTGCATTGAAGAGGAACAGTTGAGAACTTTTTACGACAAATCAATCTCATTTCTCTCCTCTTATTGCCAGGATTCCGGAGTGACGAATCAGCAGCATAGAGCAGCGGGTTTCCTGTAATGTGATCGCTGTACGGCCATTAATATATTCCTTGGATTCTACCAATTCCTAATAACAGCTTTTAGTATTTACCGGCTCGTTACAAAACTTTTATTGTATCGTAATTGAGCTCCACTTATTGTAATGCCGTTATGAATTCCCATTACTCTCACAAGAATTTTAATTCGCGGCTCAAATGCTGATTTGAGATCTGTTACAGGCTCTGCTAGATAATGAAGGAAGTTATGAGAACTTTCCGCAATTAAGCTGCCTAATGCTTAATTGCTTTACAACTCGCTAAAAGCAGATTTTTATGAACTTCCTCTTGTTAACAGAAGAATTTTATGTCGCCCAAAGTGTAATTGAATCGAGCAGTAAATCTGAATCTTCCAGGGAAAAGTTTTGTAAATTTCGCAGACATTGGAGGCAGAGTTGATAACAATATTTTGAAGCGCTCATGGTGATAT